CACTGACACAGGTAGAATATGCAAACTCTGCACAGAAAGGATCCCCTACCCCAGGGTTCAAACCAGGAACCCTCTTGCTGTGAGGCGACAATGGAGCGCCAAGAAAACGATCAAGCTTGACAATCAAGAGGAAGTTAAAGTCGTAACAAGTTTTCCGTAGGCAACAATGCTAACCACTGTACCACCGTGCCACCTTTCTGTCTGTCCTCTGCATTATTGTGTCGGTATTTGCGCACGTTTTCTGAAAGCTTATGGATACAGACATAACAGAGCAGTACCACAGGAGACTGTGAAGGCAGTGTTGAGTAGCTCAAGTAAGAGACGACTGTAGGAGACGACAGAGACATCGAAATAATGGCGCAACAGAACGAATTGGTAACACAGTGAAAAGAATTCTCCGTTCATGTGTCTGGATGTATACATACTTCCATTTAAAGATACATTATTACGATCTTTGTTGCTGTGTGAAATGTTAAGCTCAAACCGGTGAAGGACTCACAGAGCAGACTCACAGACTCCGATAAATGTTCAGGGTCTATAACCACAGGTTGGTACACCGGATGCATGGAAATATGAGAGCAGGGACATTTACCATGTTTAAAAAGGACGCATGTTTTTTCTCTTTTGTGTTGAAATATGTTTGGTTTCTTGTGTGATGACTCATGTTGCAATCAGAATAGGCTCAGGCAGCTCGCTGATAAAATGCTGTATTTTTTAATTCCAATAACAATTCAAGTGGCATAATTCTTCATTTTAAGGTAGTTCCTGGTCATGAAATAAGTACACCCTTGAAGACAGAAAATGTCAGTTTATATGGAGAATTATAGTTCGGACTTGTGGCCTAAATTCTATTTCCAGGGTTTTCGAGTCCTGAGGAGAATACTTGGAAAAAATAAAAAACAACTGCAGCTCCGAACACAGTGGTCAAACCTTAGGCCATAATATAAAAGAATCATCAAGCTTGTGGAGCCATTTCAAACACTCGCCTTGTTTCTTTGGTGCAAGGATGTGTGGGTAAAAGCCGTCAAGGTGACACGCTGCAATTAAACAGCAGCGGTGTGTCGGCGATGAGCTGTCATCAGCGAGCTATGTCACAGGTGTACGGGGCAGCTGTAAGTATAATTGCTACAGGCCTCCGGGATGGAGCTGAAGCCCATCTCCTGGTGGTGACAGCAGGCTTCACTGGAAGATCGGCTATAAAGGAGACTTGTAACACAATGACAAATGGTTATACAGCAGTTGCCAAATTAACAGTGACCTCCCCCCTTTGCTGTCTGGTGTGGGTGATAATGTGCAAAAGTCCTGTCGGGAAGTGTGCTTAATGTTCAAGATAATCTGTCTATTATGCGAGTTCAACATTAGGAAGGGAGTGAGTGAGTATCAATTAAATTTTCCTTTACATAGAAAATGGGAAGCATAATTTTTCTGACAGCGATTCAAGCAGGCAGACCTAATATAGATTTTGAATAAGTAGCTATATGTGAATATAACTGGAAATAGCTCAAATAGTGTTACTCTGCAGCAGAAGCCCCCACTAAATTACTATGGTGGAACTCGATGTGCTTACTAATTGAGTCTCAGTGCTCCAAGGAAACTAATAGACAGAGGAGAGAGGGGAAAAGGAGGAAAAGAAAGGAGAGGGATTTCTGTTCATAAACAGTGTTTACTTAAAGCACCCCCATTGCCTTATTAGTATTAATAGCAGTGACTTCAGAAAGCTCATATTCTGCCATTGGACAGTTTTGTATTATTTATGATTGAAATGAAAGCCTGGGAATGCAGCAGCAATGGAGGAGCGCTGCATAGCAAACGATGTTGCCCATGCCAGTTTACATAACCGACACTTGGGTAAACAGCGGATTAAGCGCAGCACAGGGCGAGAGGAAAAACGGGAGCAAAATGTTATATCCACACATTAGCCTATTTGAGGCGAACTTTTGGAGGAGGCTAGGAGAACGCTGCGGAGCGTTTGATGCGGCTGGTCTTCATCTGCAAGTCCTTTTGAGCATGAAAGTGTGGTGCGGTGCAGAAATCTCGCCTCCAGTACAACTTCTGTAATGTTGATCTTAAGAAGTCGGGTCAAAATAAGCACGCTGGAACTTGAGAGCTTCCTCGCCTTAATTAAAGACACCATCTGTTAAATTTTATTATTAAAGCTGTTAGAGTGAGGATTAGAGCAACCGAATGGGGCTTTCATTTTCTGCTCTACTTACAGGCAGCAGGGTGGCGAGTCGAGCAGGGGAACCACGGTTTAGGGCTCCACAGCTTCCCTGCTGAGATGTCTTTGAGCAAGACACAGAATCCCAACCGGGGTTACAGCTGCTGAAGTAGCTCATTTTCCAGATAAACTACTTTAAAGCACAACAGGAAGAATTATCAAGGCCTTTCTTAAAACATCAGGTGTAATTCTTCTCAAAAACAGCCTTACTTTGAGAACAATTTTTGTTTACTCTTGCCAGCAAGTGTGTTAAAAAACATCCAAACTTTTTCTTTTGTAGATGTGTTTACATTCCCTCAAACTCGAGTGTTAGATGTTGTTTTTTAGCTGCAAGACCAAGGGGGTGCCATGGCCCCCTGATGCAATTGCTGGCACCAACACTGGCCCTTTTTGGTGAGAAATGAAGCGTTGCTTATACCAAGCATTCGAGTTCAGTTCAGTTTGGTACACGGTCATTTTTTTGTTTCCATTGTCAGAAGTTTCCATTGTTGGCATGCTGCTCCATTCTGCACTCTGAAAAGTAATCCACTGGTTCAACTTAAAATAATGAAGGTAACAATTTGCATGCATGTTTCTTAAGCAGTTAAATCCCATGAGTATTTTATAATCTGAAAAACTCAATTAATTTGGTACAGCCAACAAGATTTGCTTTGACTTCGAGAAATGCTAATTTATTTCAAAGTTGTGTTGGTATTTAGCGGTCAGACTGTTTTATCTATGATATTCTAACTTTTTATTCCAATTCCAATGTTTTGGATTTCGACCAGGCAGGTGCAGAAAGTACGTGCGAGTTGGCCATCGGATGTAGTCTCTGTAGTGTGTTCAAATGCAACTGACACAGCCTCGCCTCCCCAATCTTTCTTCAGCAGAATGGTCTGGACCACTAGAAGCTAGTTACCAGCTAATAATGAGCTGTAAAGCTGTCACTGAGAGAGTTTTTATGATATCCTACAGATTCAATGAAACTTAACATAGGGCTGAACAATAATCAAATATTCATCACCATCATGATTTTGGCTTCCTGTAATAAAATGAACATGATTGACTGTGATATTGATGTTTGAAATGCATGTGCCGCTCATAGAAAACTCTGCTGCATATTAAATTAAGCACTTTCTAAACTTCCTAAGCAGTCAACCCCACTTTTGAAGAGATGTCATGCTACTGTACGCATGTCCTACAGCGGCAGCCTGGGAAAAATGTTCCTGAATGTTGTGACTGCCGACAGGCAAAATAAAAATCATCTGTTAGTAATAAGTCATAATTTGTTATTTGGAAGTACTTTGGGTTCAGGAGAGAACAAATCATATGCAACAAGTCCATGAAAACTGTGTCTGTGCTGCAAAGCTACACAACTAACTTGTTAAACCATCACAATCTGCAGTACAATGAGAGCCAGAAGAATGATGTTGCTAACGTCACTGCACTGAATCCATGTCCTTGTCCAGTATCAACTCAGACATGCATAGAAGCGTTGCTTTGCAGTGTATCACTACACCATGACCGCTGTTAAAAAATAAATAAATGAAAACAATAAAGCTGGGGAAAGGTATCCATCCAGCTCAGACTGCAATAACAAATGCAGTTGTGTTCCAACTGGCTAAAGATATGTGTCAAATAAACACTGTCCTTTGCCCAACCAGCAATGCTGGTTGCATTCTGTAATGGCACATTTTTTTTTATAAGGCTATATTTAATTGCATCTGGGAGACGCACTGTGAATAAGGAGAAGTTTTATTTTGATTTGTAGATTTGCAGGGATTTAGCACAACATGGGAGTGAAAGCCGTGTTCTGTTTATTAAAATGGAAAAATGCAATAAAAATATATTGTCCCTAAAATCAATTAATAATCGTGATTAATAATGGTGCTCTCAGCACTGATCAAAATAGTAGTGATTATCATTTTGGTCATTATCGTGCAGCCCTAACTTAACGTAAAGTTAGGCAGGTTAGACTTGGGGAAAAGAAACATTTGACGACATACCTTAAAGTGACTAAAAGTTCACTTGAAGTTTACACCGTTCCAAACATCGGTCTCCTGGGGGAAAGTCCTATGTCCACCACCCCAACGTGCCTCCTCACATGACCACTCCCCTCTTCACTCCCATCGCCGAAGTGGTCATGTGATCGCAGCTTTCCCAAATACTTGGTAGATACATGTATTAGTAGCTCATGATTAAGTGGGTTATGTTCAAATTTTGGTGCATGACTTTTTGTCAGGAAACGTATGCATGATGCATGATGCATGATGCATGATGCATGAGAACAGCCTGAAAATAAGAAACCATAGTATATCAGTGTGCAATTCCTTAACTCACCATATTGGTGTAGTTTTCAACTAGCCTATATACTACAGCAGCATGACCAAATTCCTGAAAATCAGTTATAGCTGTTGGTTTTGGTGTGCCACCCCAGGATTTACAGTGGCCTCACCTAAGCCCCGTTTCCACCAGGCACTTTCGGTATGGTACCTTTGGAACCAAAAGTAACCCTTCAGACATGGTACATAGACCCTTTCATTTCCACTGCAAACAGTACCCTTAAATGTGGGCGGGGTTGTTGTCACTCACTGCTCCGTCCAGCACTCACTGTATTTCCTCATTATCGGTGATACAGAGGGAAGTCTGTAGCTAATTTATCGTTCCGAAATTTTAGCGTTAGGAACTGAACTATACCGTACTGCTCGGTGGAAACAGGGCTCTTTTCATTCCTATGAAAAATTTCTGGGGACACCACTGTGCAAGATGAACAACAAAATCACCACCAAACCACAGCAACATATACTGAATCAATCTTTATTTATATTAAATTAAAAATATACTTTTGACAGATTCATGTAACAAACATGAGGAACGGTATTTCTATGATATAAAGCTTTGGGTATGGTTTCAAATAACTCAGACAGACAGTCAGCAGTGACCGTCTTGGATAAAGGGACATGGGGAAGTATGGAAAGAACGCCTTCTCTCTACTATGTCTCCTCTAAAAGCATGCAAAAACAAATCAGAAAATGAACTGAAAACAGGATGTACTGTGAAGGCTGTGCTCTGCCTTTCAGGGGAGAGGAGGAGGAGGAGGAGGTCAGACTTGGCTCAGTAATATTTCCAGTAGAAAGTAAGCAGAGAGGGTAACACAGTTTATCTAGGTTGGTTGGCAGCACTGGTTTCAGTTTTATGAGTATTAGAAAGATAAAGAGGAGAAGTTTGCTTGTTCTGGGGTGTTCTCATTACTGAGGGACAAATGAAATGTGGCAAGCATAGGGGAAGCTGAACAGAGATACCAGGTGGATTCAACACCCCCCTCCGCCCACCACCACCATCACCACCACCACTTTTACAGTGTTCACCTAAACTGAAACAATACATGAGGACAGCCACGGAGCTCTGGAGAAAAAGGGCGTCACAAGAGTTCCACATGGAAAAAGGGTCAACAAGCACTTTTAAAATCAAATCCCCATTAGTCCAAAAGGTACACTTACATAAAGCAAATATGTACGGCTCTTTTTGTACAAGTTGTTATAAGCAGGAGAAAACAGCAGTAGGAGAGAAGACCATATAAATTCAAAGCATCGCCTCCTTATTTACAAATTCACCACGTTGGCCATTTCAGTGCTTTATAAAAATACTATTCACATTTGTTGCTGAAGTGTGTTAGATAAGTTTTGGAGGAAACCCCAAAGATTCTGTACATTTATCTGATAATTTAAACACAGGAAATGAAAGCGATGATTTGTGCAATTAAGATGTTGACAACTAAAAACTGCGGCTAGAATGACAAACGTGTTTCATAATGTGCGGTAAACAACACAATAGTGGAAAAAAGATTCAAGTCTTTTTTTCTTGAAGAAAAACTTGATAATATGGAAAATAACTCAACATTAAAAGGGTACTATACACAAAAAAGAAATTCCCAGTTTGTGCTACTGAATTCAGTAAAAAAAAATATTTTCTCCCACTCTGAAATTTGAATATAATACTGTCATCAATGAAGAGATACAAAGGTGGAGGGCAGTAAAACACTCACTTTGGGTACCATGCAAGGTGATATTGTACTATACACTAGAGACTCTAACGCAGCCTATATGGTAGGTAACTGCTCAGGATGAAATATCGAAGGATTCACTTCTGGCTACATGCCTCTGCACCTTGGCTCAGAGGAAACGGTAAAAAGTGGAAATAAAAAAAGTGATCAATCTTAAACACCAGTTGCCATGGTGTGTTCTTGAAATGCCATGAGCCACAAGACTGTTTAGGGCTGAGACAAATAGCAGCAGGTAACACAGTCCGACGCCAAGGCGAAACATGTTTGAAACAAGAAATGAGATATTAGTCGGCAGAGAGGGAAAAAGTAGTTGCGGTACTAAAGAAAAAAAAAAAACAAGGCCTTTGGATGACAAAAACAAAACTTGACAAACTTCAGGTATGTTTTTCTTCCTTTTCTGGCAATGAACTCTTGAATAGATTCAATTAAAAGCGCACGGTTGCAAAGTGTCTCGGATACTCTGAAGTGCTCTCGAGAACATTTGAGGCTCAGTCGTTTCATCAGTTTTTTTAATCTAATCTTGATTCAAACACGCATTTTGCCTGGGTCTGCAGTATAATTTAGGCCAAACAAGAGAGACCAAGGCGTGTGTTTTTCTTCTTACCACCATGGTGCTTTTCTTTTTTTCCTCCTCCTTCTTGAAACCCAGATTTGGCAGACGCTTCCATCGCTCAGTATAAACAAGCTGAAACGCGCCATAAATATTTCACATTGATATTAAATGCTGTCTCTATTTCATTGAATTAGAGCTCCAAAAGGGACTACAAAATACTCCTTCATCAAATAATCATGATATCATCAAAGCAGCGTTATAAATACTGTTTGAAGCAAACAAAAAAAACATCAACTCGGAAACAAGGACATTCTTGAGGCTGGTCAGTACCACCTCAAATGTGTTTTCTTGGTGAACTCCCGGCCGCAGCACCTTCCTCTGACTTTTGCTGAAGCTTTTTGCTTTCTGAAGTGGTAAACGGCCGGATAAACAAGTTGAATATTTCAGTAACGAAGGGTGGAAATCTTTTCTTTCTACCCACGAGTTTGATCAAAGTGCTCCAAAGGGAGGACAAACATATACAGCTTACTCGGACGAACACGTTCACACACAGAGGCATTAAAATGCACTAAATAAAAATCCTAAACAAGAAAACAGCACACAGCTGAATGACAAATTACAATTACATTAATATTAATATTCAATGTGTAACAGCTGGAAAAACTTGCTATAGGTTCAGGAACTATATGATTCTGTCCATATTGATTGAACCAAGATGTGATTCTCGGAAGAGGCAAACCACCATTACAAAATTTTCCTCTTGATCTTTGAAGGTTGGCAAGCTTTGTGGTATTTTCCCACCCACGGGTCTCCTGTATGGCTTGTCGGAAGAAATAATGGCTGTAACACCAGCGCTTTTAGCAGCATTGACTGGCAGTTTGCCTGCAGAGGCGTCAGTAGTGAGGGTTACAATGATTCTCTTGAGAGCTTGGGGATCTCAAGAGTAAAACTCAGCTGGGATGCTTTTCATGATGTCACTCTGGGACTTTGCACACCAAGTCCGTATTTTTTTTGCCTGAAATTGTTGCACATTTAAAAGTAAATACAACCTCACTTAATGTCAGTCACAGATTTCTTTCATTCCCCAATTTAAAGTTTCAACCTACCAACCTATCGCTGCATAATAACGTGCAAAATGTATTCATGGTTTGCAGAGACGTACAACGCCAATGCTTATTCTGGCAAGTGGGTCAGCATGTCCCTATCTTAGACATACTGCCAGCCCCTTTTGTGTTCAGGATCAATTGGATTGCTGACATTGGTGGTCTGTTTGTCAATGTCCGATTCTAGTATTGTTAGCAGGGTATCAAACTGGATCACCTGTAACAGACTTTGAAACCATTGGGATAATTCCAGTTTTATTGACAGGTAAACTCTCCTTGCTCTAGAGACCTTCTCAGGATTGGAAAAACCCAATTTTTGTCTCCTATCTACGACAAAATCATCTTCACTGCTTGAAACTCCATTGACTTGGTGTGCAAAGGCCTTTAGTGTAAATGGATCCAAGGCATCGTCAAACAGCAGCCAGACTAATAATTCAGTGTTGGGAAAAGTACAAATTAACAACATACAGCTGCACTTGAACAACAACAACAAACCTATAAAGACATTACAGTCTCCTCTAAGTTGTACCTTTGACATATTTACCAATATTAATAAAGTAATTAGCTGAAAGAAAATTCAAGAAACCTTCACCAGCAACTACGAAGATCACATTTAGGCGTAGGTTTAACCCTGTCTCCCAGAAATTAGGTTAATACAGTACTTATTTGATTTCCCAGGTATGTATTTGCTGGATTACTATATGAATTAACATATCTATATCATTTCTAGGAGACAAGGTTAATAGCTTATGGAGTTCTGACTTCTGGGCAATAAGGTCCTTCAAAAATATCAAGCAATTTGGTTGTCAACACTGCCATTTAGAGCAGTCAAAGTGCAACTGACAGCACCTTTAGGTTAAAAGTCAGTCGAATGAGAACATGAATGTAGTCCTGATCTTTGCTGTTGATTATTAGAGTAAAATAAAAAGCATGATTTAAAAAATTGTGCAGGTTGCTTTGCCACCTTAGACCAAACCTGATACCTCTTGACTGCAGAGTGGTCAGGCTTGCAACAGGCTCTTGATTTCAGGGTGCCACTGATGAATTAAGGACAAACTATGCCAGAAACGACAGACACTGCCTCCATTCCCCATCTTCACTGGTATCATGTCCAAATTTGCTGCCATAGAGACGAGTGGGTCCAGAGAAAAAGTGGTTAGTATTTATAATTTTTTAAGAACTAGATTCAAGCTACAGTCAAGTACCTTATAAATGAACACTTCGATAGAGACACATGTTAATTTTGGCACAGAACCATCACTGTGTGCATCAATAGCTCCTTCATAAAGCCTCAGATTCCTGACTTTAACCATCCAACACCTAAAAAGATGAAAACCTCCCAGAGATTTGGTGCTGTTTGCCACTCAATGAGACAGTAGAAATGTTTTCTGTTGACAGCAGTCATATGGTGGAAGTCTTTGAGGTCGGACCAGTGTTGAGCCTACTGTTGTTTAACAGCTGTACTGAAGCTGTCGACTATATCATCACCGACTTCGACCGCATCTCTTTCCCCACAGATATCCCCGCGGGGTCAAACTGGCTCGCTAATATGTGAACACACACACACACACACACACTTGTTCCATTCACACTGACATAAACACACACACAAAAAAGTAGTTTTTCTGTGCTCTGCTGGTGCTGTCTTGTTCATTCCTTGAGGTCTTCATTAGGCGGCTTGTATGAACTTTTTCTTTCCTCTCTGTAGATGTTTTCTCTTTTTTCTCTCACTCTCTGTCTCTATAATCACCATTTTTAGTTCGGCTGCTTTGTAGATATCACACTATTCAGCAGATTCAGGAATTTCCCTAACTATCCTCCCACTCTTATGGCAAGACACTCATCAAGTTAGCCTCCTGTTCTAAATGGGAAAACCAGTGTATAAAAATCAATCTTCTCAACCCTGCAACCAGTGTTTATAAAAATGTTTACAGTGTATTTTTTCCCTTATTCCCTTTGGCTTGGAAAAGGCTGTTTTTGATCAGCCTTTCCAAGCAGACAGCAGTCAACCAAAAACAACAAAAACAGCAGTTGCCCTGTGTGTTTTTCAGGCGAGTTAAAAAGTCAATGGTCGAACTACAGATGTGTGGAGGGATCACTGTAGTTTTGGCCATCACAGTATCACAGTTACAGTAAGAAAGATGAGATGAGTTTCACATGTTTGACGGAAAATTGGAGGATGTACGGTATAATCCTATAGGCAAAAAGAGTGAATATGATTGATCAGCTTTCAGTGCTCCATCCTCATGTTACTGGATGTCCTGACTAAACCCTTTTCAGCCTTTTATTCCTCCATATTTTGCTGTTTTGCCTCACTCTACAAGGTCATTCACAAAACAAGACATCTTGACATCTTACAGACTCTATTTGTTCCGTCTGTTTGCTTATTTCAGAAACCCTTAGAAGTTCATCTTCAGACCTTTATACTGAAAAAATAAGAAAACATCTTGTTCCTCTCGTGAATCTGACACCGCAGTGACTGGCAGTGAGTTCAGGTCCCCTACGCCGAATCCATCTTGTTGCGGTCTGCCTCACTGGGACGACACTGTGCTGTGTGTCCACTGCTGTGTGACAGTTATGTGTCCCTTGAAAACTACCGTAACCTTCACGTTCTCAGTGATGTGGAGCACAGTCTCTATCTACAGGACAGAAATGGACTGGATTGGATGAAGGTGAGTTGGGTTTGCTTGGCTCGGTTCGGTCCACCTCCTTCTGATGTCGCTACGGTCTACAGCAGATGGCACAGTATTTGGAAAGAGTTGGGGGCTCTGGTTGAGGCCGCTCCCCTCTGCGTGGAACAGTGGAACCGGAGAGGATGTCTGGGTTGCTGGAGGCTAGAGTCAGATTGAGGAAGGTTTGGAACGATTTAGACCACAGTGTTCCGCTGTCGGTAGGGTGGAGGGGGCAAGACGGTGCCAGATTTCAGGGAAAACTCAGACATGTACTCGGGGTTTTCAGCTACCGCCGGCCGTATGTGTCCGTTCTGCTTATAGAAGAGCTTGGCGTTGGTGGAGCCGCCCTGGGCGCTGTCAGGGATCGCCTGGTTAGACGATTTGGGGGGCAAGCTGTGTTGCCAGTACTCTGGATTGTCAAAGGTCACCTTCAGCTTTTTCCCGCTGACTTTACCTGACGTCTGTCCGTGCTTCAACATGCTGGCGGGGTGCGTGGTGGCGTGGATCTGGTAGGCTGGCAGGCTGCCGTGCCCAATGTTGCCCGAAGTGGACAGGGCACCTGACTGGCACACCTGGGCTTGGGCAGTAGTTCCTGTTTGGCTCTGGCTGGTGGAGCCGCCACCTGGATTGCCAGGCTGTCCCGCGGGTTTGATGGTGTGATGGGCGTGGAGGATGTGGGTCGGTGGGCCGTGGTGGCAAGGCATGCCAGATGGAGAGGGCTGGGCAGTAGGGAGGGGGTAATGGGGCAGGCTGGTCTGGATGGTAAGTGGGAGGTGGGAGCCTGAAGAAGCGATAGAAGAAGGAGGCTGGGTGGGCAGGGGAAGACCATTTCTCCTCAGTGCCTCCAGGCCCAGCTCGGCGGGGCTGTGGAAGGTGTTGAGGTATAGGGGCTCGTTGATGTACTCGTCCTCCCCTTTGGGCTGGCTGTTGGGTGTGCTGTGGTAGCCCGGGTTATCCAAGGCGTGGATCTCACCGTTCTTGCGTCGAGAGACAAATGGGTTCTCCTCAATGGGATTCAGATATTCTGTAGCACAGATCAGAAAAGGGTGGGAAGTAGAGAACAAGAGAAAAGAGGTTTAGGAGAGAATAAGACAAAAGATTCACATTAATCAAATCAAGAGAAGGGAAAACAAAAGAAATGAAAATTGAAAGAGTAAGAGAAAGAGATCACTCGCTAATGAGGGGAGAAGATGGTGATGATAATGGCGATAATGGCAGCCACTCAGGACCAGACGGGCAACATGCCAGCAGTTCTTTGGCACTGGAAACTCCATCTGCCGGGGGTGAAAATGCCAGCAAATGACCCCTCTTCACTGCTTCCAAACGCTATAATAGTGGGGTGCGAAACCTATTGATTTTGCCCACTCTTCCGCTCCTTGACATTGCATCAGATGCATTTTGCTGCAGGCTTTGTTATATTTTGAGCTGCTCAGAAATCAAAGGCGGCAGTGCGAGAGCAGGGCTGATGGACTGAATTATGATCAAAGGCAAAACATGACTCTGTAGTAGCTGACATACACCGTTGACGGAAACTGGGTAGGAATTTTAATCAATGGAGTGAAATGAAATGAACAGGCAAAATGACAGGCAGAATATACTACAAAAGATTGTATTTACTCTGTGAATGAGCAGCGAGATGACAGAGTGGGGAGAAGGTGCACTAGGATGGAATTTGTAGTACATACAGGATGCACTTGTTTTACATTTAAATTGTGTTTCAGTCTTTGTGGAACAGGACAGAAGACTGTCAGACTTTTATTTCTACGGCATTGTGTTATTTGAAATTAATATAATGAGGTATGTGTATTACAAAGTTTAGTATTATCTCCACCATGCTGTGGACTAAATACAACTCCTAAAATACAGTTATGCATGGTCACAACAAATTGCCCCGCAGGGCTGCAGAATTTCAACCTGGATTTATTTTTAGCTTTTTCGAAAGTGCTCTGGGAAGTGAACCTGATTTTAATGTGTTTTGTATTTTACTCATGCTGGCCTTATACCAAATGGCTTTTCAAGCAATTTCACTGACGCAGACAAATTTCCAGTGTAGGAATAAAATCATGAGGGTGTTACCTTAGTTGGTGACCTCGATTGTTTGGTTTAAGATGGTCAAAAAACTCAGTCCGGGCTGTCTTGTTTTGTCATTTTGACGAAAACATGTTTAATTTAAGAAGTTCTTGGTTATGATACTAAAGTTAAGTGACTTCATTGTCAACCGACCAATAGCAGCGCTCTCTCCAGCACCAAACCGGATGCAACAAACTGGGTAGACAGTTAAAATGGAGGAGACTCCAAAGAGGTGCAAGAACTTGAACAATTCTCAGTTCTCTTGGACTGTGGAAACAACCCGGTCTCACTCCAAAGTTAACGAAATCCGGCGCTTGGGCAGTTAGTTGCGGCGTCAGACACTGACGAAAACAGACATACTTTAACATCGGTATGATACGTAGAAAGTCAACGTTATAGTTTAATGTCGCTCTGTGGCATCAGGGGGAAACGTGGCGGGACAAGAACAAAAGTTAAGGCGGCAAAAGTCTGAGTGGGGTGGATGGGCCCAACAAATGCCGGCTTTCACCTGGGAGATCAAGATTATAAAGCCAAACTCTGTAATTTTTTTCTAAACCCAACCACGTGCATTAATTGTTGAAGAAAAAAACAACCCAGTTCGCGATTTTGTACCGACGTAGTGCGTTTATTTTCACCTTCACATTTCCTGTGAAAACGGAAGTGTATTTTTGAAAGAAGACAGTGTCCCAGAACATCAACAACCAACGCAACCAGGGTACCTTTCATGTTGTATCTGGATGTCTTTATGGATTATATCGATGCCAATCTGACAAGAAAACTGTCGACATATGAGACCTTTTATCTTGTGTCTCTAGAGATACATTATGTGGTTTTGCAGACAGGTAAGACATTGCCAAAATATCATATTTCTTAAAGGGACTTTGGTGGAATTTTTTTTCTACTAGGAGCAGGATAGGAAATAGTTTCAAAATAAATCTAGTTGTAGTCTTGTAAATGGTGACTCTGCAAGATCCCAAGTCTTTACTCTTTTAAAAGTATTATCAAAGTCGTCTAGTGTATGGTAGGTGTGAGAGTACCTGAGGAGCTCTTGTCCTTCATGGGTGTCATGTATCCGTCCTCATCAGTGTCCCCTCTGGGCGCCCTCTCCCCGAGGAAGATGGTGGGGTCAGCGCTGTACCTCTGGCCCCCGCTGTCCTCTACTCCAGCCTGGCTCAGGCTCTTCTTGTGCAGGCTGCCATTACAGCGCTGATCCTCCAGGGCCGGACCCGGTCCACCTGTGGCTTCCTGATTCACGCTGGCCTGGGCACCTGCGGCAGAGGCCTCTGCAGGGTTTGGACCACCATCTCGATAGCCAAACTGGTTCTGAAGTAGAGAAACGAGAAAAACACTGTTACTGAGCAAACGGGCGGATTATGAGACTCATATTACATTTCCACTGTTAAAAGTTATGGATGGTACCAGTGGAACCAGGGGTACCTAGCACAAAGATCTCGTACTAAAACGTGGAGCTGTGAACACTGCAAACGTTGATTGGTCAGTAGCGGACGGTCACTCTGCTCAGGTTTTGAGACTTAGGTAACCACTGTTCATACAACGGAGAATTTTGCATATATAAGTAAACTGTAACTTTAAAATAAAGGATGTTTTGCTGCCTCTTGCAGCAGCTGTAGTTTGAGAAAAAATAACTTAATTCACTGGGCCGACCGCTGGCAACTTTTAAGATGGAATGTTTACTTGTTATGCTACCCAATGTATGAGTTGACGATGTGAATCCATCAGCACACCTTAAATTTCAATATGACAACTCTGACCATTCCTTTAGTTTTTATTGTCTCTGTTGGATGACACACACTTTTAGTAATGAGTGGATCTTCAAGCGTTAGAAAATATATATTGCTTTCGACCAGATTATGTGAACTACATATATCCCAGTCCTCACTGGGAGAAAAAAAAGCGTCTTGGATCGTTGTTCCTTCCCGATCATTTTGCTAGTGAGTGGGGCCCTTGACACTTTGGGCACCTGGGCTGTTCTTATCCATTCATTACAGCAAACTGTAGTTTGATGTTCTTTGTTCTTCTGGGGAAACTTTGATGCATGTTTTGTATGTTTGACTCTGTTTTGTAGGTTTTTGACACTGTGCAGCTATTTGGTGATGACATTGCTGGAATTACATTGTTTAACAAACTCAACTTAAGATGTCTCCGGCTCAATTGCACCACTCCAAACAAATGGCGTGAAAGCCAAATATCATGAAGTCTGAGTCAGTTTAAGCCAGCTGTATGCCACCTGCGGCAAAGGAAGTGGGACTTTTAACCCATGCAGCTGCCTGTCGAGGCTAAAATTCTCCAACAAAGTTCTGTCGGTGTAGTCATCAGCCTTAAGGGACTGTGAAGGGCAGTCAGGCACAGCTACGATACAAACGCCTGCACCTCAAAAAAAGAACAAAAAACCCCATAAGAAAAAACAAAACATGACATGTGAGGCAAAGGGCTTCTCGTGGTGCTGTGTTGGCTTGCCGTGGGCTATTTAACCCAGGCCTACTCCTCGGCACTCTTGCCAACTGCTAGCGCTACAGCAGCAATTACAGGAAGCAGAGCTACAAAACACAACAGAGAAAGAAGGAAAGAAAAAAAAAAAGGAAACATCCTGAGGTTATATCCGTCCACCTACTCCCACTGTCTTCCCTCCATCACAATCAACATCCCCTTCCTCCAAACTTCTCTGTTCATCCCTTCTTCAAAGCCAGGTATTATCCGCTCCTCTTTTCAAGTGTGAGTGTGAGAGCAAATCAGCCCAGATTAGATAACTGTCTGTATTGGTCTGCGTCTGCGGCGGCGCAACCTGAATAACTAACTTCCTGTGGCAAAGTCAGGCAGCCGATGGATTTTAAAAATGGCTTGCTTTCCCTGTGTGGGCATGTTGGGGCTTTTGACTGCATAATCAAAGGAGTTTCAATTCATGATAGGGATGCTGACCTTGAGCACGCAGGAGTCTGGACGGATTAGTGTGTATTTTCTCTTTGAGGTACGTGTGTATTCTTTAGGGAGTGAAAAGCCGCTGTAAAATGGGTAGGTCACGGGGGTAGAGGGGCATAAGATGCAGAGCCGTGGGCCAGCGGCACGTGGCGCATGCTGCAGAGCAAACAGCCGCTCATTGTCTATTAGTAAACGGCTCCGGCATTTTAAGAGAGCGTCTGTTATTTGCTTATGGAGCTCTGAGTAATGAAACCTGGGGCCTGGGGAGCCGGCGCATAAAGAGCCCAGGTTTAAGCCACACACGCTGGGATGGAAATGATGGAGGTGAGCCATTAGCAGAGGAAAATCATCAGTGTATTGGAAGTTCTTAACCACCTTGAGCACTTATAGAGGACAGTGAGTCGGGCAGTTTTTGACCAGAGAGAAATATTACGTTTTTGAGGTTAAACAGAAGACATGAAATGGTTTTATAATGAGATATGATTCGTTATTATATAACATATTTAATTATAGCTGAAGGTTTATGCTTCAACACCTTAAAATGTCATTTTAGAAGCACGTTTATGAGCCATATCAAGACCGCAGCAGAATTAGCGATTAAAAAATGTTTAAATATAGCAGTTTTCTACATGCTAAAGCTGTGTCCTTACTCTGTTGGAGTCAACTCGAGGCCTGGTTGTGTAGGACGGAGGAGCCATGTTGAAACCTCGAGGCACCAGGTACTCGTCGGCATCCATCAAGTCGTCTAGATCCTCCTCGTCCAGAAGGCTCTGGAAGAACTTGCTGTCATTGGGGCTGGGGAGCTTCATGCGGTCGTCTCCCTAAACAGGTGACATGATGAAATTCTCAATTAGTGTGATTAACTTCATCTAATGGGTGCTATTATTGCTACAAGTTAGACTCATTACATTCTATTTTAAAAGCCTTATTATCCAGTGCTTTGACAGACAGCCTGTTGAGGCAAACACACCTGGATGACCAGGTATCGCTGGGGGTCCCGGGCCATTCTGCAAAACTCAGCAGCCAGCTCCTTAAACTTTGGCCTGCTGTCTGCGTCAATCATCCAGCCTACAGAAACGGGAAACATAATAAAATAATATTACACAAATAAGTGGTATATTATAGTTTACAGTTAGGATAATCAAAGTAATAATCTCTGAGATGTTCATGTAAATAAATGAAGCTCAGCGTAAATTCAATCAGGAAGATTTTCTTTATGCTATATCCACTCACAATTCTCTCTATCGCACACCCACCACTCCCACAAATCAGCTGACAATGGGTGATCCCTCTCCTAGTTAGCCAGTCAAACTTTGCCACGATCTCCTTCACCCTCCTCCACAAGCAAAAGCAGCATGTGTATACATTCAGTAAGCTATATCTTCAGTAGCTAGCTAGCTAACCCTACACTTTTCAGGGTTTGATTTTGGTTTTGGAACAGGGAAGAAACGTATATCTTTTTCCAACTTCTCCAGGTAACGAGTGTTGTTGTCAGACCCTGGTCTGGGCCAGCCCGATGCTACGTTACGATTGGCCAGTCTGCATCTGGGGGCGGGACTTAGTGAAGGGTCATTTGTGCTCCGAGTGACAACTGAATGTCCTAGGCTGCCCATGTCAATTGCTCCATCTCAAAAATGCATTTAGATTTAAAACTATTAGCAGGGCTTACATATGGAAACCTACATGTTAAATCATATTGACACAACATTATTTTCTTGCTCCTCTTGCTCGGAATAAATCAAATATATCAGCAACAAACCCGCTTTAGACAAAATTCTTGCTAGCTGTCGTACATGGAGGGAGAGACAGAACAATAGGAAAAAATATAGAAGCGTACGTGATAGTAAACGAAACGTCGCACACCGACATGTATTAGAGCTATGGTACATTACGTCAAAAGTTACAGGAAATAAATTGTCCGCTATGTCAAATTACGCAGAAGGTTACCCATGGAAGATTACTGTAACAATTTCATTATGCAAAACAAAATTTTTAAGGATTTTACTAATGTCTCGTTTCCAGATCTGAAAAACAAACAAACAAAAAAAAAACCCGGATTCCATGACTCCTCCAGGTTTTCCATGACCTCGGGAACCCTAGAAGGGGAAGGCGGCGCTAACACAACAGACGTGCTGTTCAACTCACTTATGTTTGAAGTGGCGTGCTGTTTATTTTTCGGTCTCTGCTAGGGTTGCAACTCTAAGATTGCTTCGGCCAAACAATGCCAGAATGAATGAAATGAATGAAAAGATTATGGAGGATGACACTGCAAAAACAGGAGCCAACTGACTGATGTCACACAGGTGATGCTGTTTCGATCAGTGGGAAATGAGGTCTAAGAACACACCTGCAATCACTGCTTATCACCATAGATGCTGTCAAAGAGAATAAAATGGAGATCCTTGAGATTCAAACTAGAGGTATTGCAGACTGAATGTTTTTTTATAAGGAAAATGCCTATAAAAGTTCTCTAGACAATACAAAAAACGCTGAATAAACAAGCATAGTGCTCACTTAGACAAAGTTTCACACACTCTAAACTCTAAGTGCCTTGCTCAAGGGCAAATCAGAGGTTGTTATTAAGGTGGAGGAAAGTGTTTTTCATTTTGCTCTCCAGCCTGCTTCTCCCTCCCTGAGGCTGTAGTAAACAGAGCAAACCCCTGCAGGTGAAGTGAAAGGCCAGGTGGAGTCTCAGCTCAGATTAGACAGTACAGCAAACAGAGTTGCTGATTTCAGTGTCTGCATTACATATTCTACAACAGTGTTGGCTAAAGTGGGGTCTGGGTGCCTCTAGCAATCCTAGAGGGAGGCTCCACGGATCAGCAGCAGAATGTAATTGCTTCATTTCACTTTAGTTCAAATTTAGTGGTTACCAAGTGACAAAAAATACTCCTCGTAGCTGTTTCCAAACCAGAACCTGTGCAATAATGTATGTTTTCTCTCCATAGAAACCGCTGACGATCTGAAGCTAGCTCTCCTTAAATAAACCTTGACCTTCTCTGTTGTCATTTCGCCTGCCACTCTTCGCTCAGTTCATCTAATTTCCGCTTCTAGCGCCCCACGCAGGCACATTACCTAAATGAGGTGCAATTACTCCAGCAATCAAACACTATTTCATCTTTATTGGGGTGGCACTGAGGTGGCGGGGCACGCAGTGTGACAGCACACCAAATCACAAACAACGGCTCTCAGTCAACATGTAATTAGAATTAATGCAGCCAATTGCCAGGCTTCCTTCTGGCTCTTGATAGGGGCGGTGTGACCCGCCCGCTGGGTTGACTCAGTGCTTGACCTGGTTTGGCTATTTCTGATCACCGCTGTGATGCTCACCTGACGTCACTCCACTTTAGTGTGCTTGTGGTGTTTGTGGGTCTTTTGTTATGGTGCTGTGCCATTGAATAGTGAGTAAAAGAAGAAAATTAAAGGGACAGCTCACCCTGAAAATGAAAAATAAATATTTTTCTTCAAACCTGTGGTGCTATTTATCAATCTAAATTGTTTTGTTGTCAGTTGTTGTGTTTTGGAGATACCGCCTGTAGAAATGTCTGCCTTCTCTCCAATATAATGGAGCTGGATGGCACTCGGCTTGTAGTGCTCAAAGAAAAAAAAATTAAAAAATCAATAGTAATGTCTCTTGCCAGAAATTATTGCTGCATTCAAGTGAGGTCATATTTACCGTGTCCACTAAAAGTCCATATGAATTACCCCTTCATGTGGCATTCATGACCTCATGAGTGGACGTTTTCTGAAAGCTGCAAATTCATGAGTTGTGTGAGTGACATGCTTGCTGACGTTTTCAGAAATAGTGGAGGTCATGTAAATTCATTTTTCAGTGGATGGTAAATTAATAAACTGTAATTTTAGTTGCACAGAGTTCTTCTTATTTCATAAAGAGTCTGAAGAAAATGTTAATATCCCTAATGGTCTCTTCTTGGTATGCACAAAACAACAATTAGAATCCAAAACTAAATTTTAAGAGATTACATATGAACATATCATGAGAGCATTATAATTTACTGTTGCCCTATACTCATTTTTACTTAAAAGAGCTTCATCATTGGCATCATCATTCTGTTAGTTATGACCACCAGCTGCTAGCAGCTAATTTCAACTAGCTCTCCTCCTTATGTTTTTAAAAAGGCGATTGTAGCATGATCAGGGAAAAAACAGGGTGCGCCCCCTGGTGCATCGATAGTACGCTTACTGTGTCCTTTTTGTCCAGAAGGTGTTCCTGGGAAGATATCCGTTTGTCCCATAGATTTTTTCTATTGTCCTGGGACAACACGACGGCATCAGTCCTGAGCCCTACTTTTTGGCCTGCGCACTAATGTGACACCACTTAAAAACACTGGCCACTACCATTAGTGAGTGTCATCTTATTTGCCGATAGGCCGATAGCAGTCAACAAGGCAAATATTGGCCGATACTGATGTGCTTTTTCCTCTGTCATTATGCCTTTGCATTTCCTGCATTTCGGTACCTTGCTTAATTGGAAACTTGATTATCTGAATTATCTTGAGTAACACGGTCATGATTTCTGGAAAGAAAGAGTTTTTCAGCACTTAAAGCACCACAAGCTGAGTGCCATCTAGTTGAATTATACTGGAGAGAACTCTACAGCCGATATCTCTACACTACAGGTAAGAGGAAAAATATGTATTTTTGATTTGAGGGTGAACTGTCCCATTTACATTTTAAACCTTCAGAGAGGATATGCTGCTCTGAGTGACAGCTATCGGAAAGTGGAACATAATTGCCCTCAAGATGACTAGGAAATCAGGACTACGTGGGAGCCCCTGAGCATTTTTGCTGCTTGTAAAGTTAAGGGAATCCCTTTGACCTCAGCATTTATAACATTATTGTCCAGACATTTTACACAGCACATGAAATTTATTCTTCTCCTCTAGGGGGAAAGACAGAAATCAGTTGGCATTGTTATTAGGCTAAATGACTGTGGGGCTTTCACGGTTGCGTCTGTGCTGTCAAAAGCCATTGGCAGTAGTTTTTCATTTGGAAAAAGAACAATTAGATATTATGACATTTCGGTCAGATTAACATTTTTTGTCATGGGAATATGCTTTGATATCAAGCTCCAAGCTGGATCACATCATTCTCTTTCACCACATTTGGCATTTTAAGCACTCGCTGTTGTTGTCCTCATCCAGAGCAAATCAGTAGCACACCAGTGGAGTCAGTTTAAATTCATAGAGCTACAAGCAGCAAGTATTAAAAAGTAAATTCATAGTGTGGATACAATATTTATGCCACGAAAAAGATAATTAAAAAGAACTAAGAGCTGCAATGGCAAGGAGAAAGGAAGTCAGTGGGGAGAAGTTGACGTGAGGTAATTTTTATGAGATTTTCAGCTACTACCAGAAGACAGGCAGTAACAGGAAAGTCACTCCACCATAGCTGGGTTGAGGCAGGGTGGAGCGATGACCAGACTGGTGTGGGGAAAAGTAAAGCCAAGCAGCCGATAGCTGGCAGATCTTGTAGCATGGATTGGCATGTATGTCTGGACCGCTTCCTGGAAATATGGGAGGGTGGATCCCTCTGCAGCCATGTACACCAGAACGAGAGTTCTGAATCCAGCCATGGGAACGAGCGCAAGATGGGAGAATTTGGGGAGGATGAAGGGAAGGCGGGGTTTTTGGATGAGCTGCACGAGCTGGAGGGAGAGCTGGGCGTACGTCGGCTGGGAGGGAAGTGTGGAAGTCCAGATGGAGGATGACATGAACGAGGATGTGGGCAGAGTCCCCGGTGAGGATGCATGTTGCACAACATAAAGCAGCATCTCATCAGTTTCCCGAACATCTCTATCTCTTTGTTTTCTCATCTCTCCTCTTTACATATCAACTTCTCTGCCAGCCTTGAGTCAAAGCCCCTGAGCTCAGATAACACCTTACCAGATGAATATTAAAAATATGAACCCTTTTATTAAACTACAACTCATCTGTGATATCTCAAGCTGAGTTGGAGCAGTGTATAAACATGATTACAAAATAAGATTATGTGCTCCACGACACTCAATGAGTTGGATTGCCACTCTGTGACATTGTCTTTAATGCTGCCACCTGTAGCCGAGACAATTAAGTCTACAAATGTGCGATATGTAGCAAGAGACAAGCTTTTTCTATTTCACTGATGATTAAATTTTATGTACAAATCATTTGATGGCGCATTCTATGGATGTATAATTTGGCCATAAGTATGCTGAAATGATTTGAGTGTTTTCTGTTTGTAGTGAGGTAATATCTCCTTTTAATATCTCTGGAGGTATCAGGCCATTGTAGCAATGCTTTCAATCAGGCTTTACCGCCACTGAGTGACATTTTTATCAGGACCAGTGAACACTTTCTGAGAAATTAATACGGATAAATAATAATCTTCACGAAACGTTATGTTTTTTCTCTCCCGATGGATGCGGCTATAGACAGCAGGCGCAGCTAATCTAGTTAATAGCATCACTCAATTGAGCTGATCAAGTAAATCGTTTACCGTGCGTTGACAGATCGCCACAGACAACAACCACGTAAGAGACAAGTGAGAGATGACAGCATGGAGCGTGAAGCAGCTGATCTGCTACCTTCAGGCTTTCTCCACTATGGATATCATTAAAACCAAGTACTGTTCCAGGCTCACCAACGAGCACCGACACATGTTCATGAAAATGGCACTTACTCCATTTAAGATTCAAACACTAGCAAGCAGAAATAATATATGTAATGAAATGAAATAGATAAAGAGAAACCGGGCTGTTTTCTAAAAGAGGCACTTTGTATTTACTTTATTTATAAGTTTCTGTCACATACTTGAAATGTAGGCCTGAAGCTCATTGTGCTAGGACTAATTTTATTCATGGTTAAGACAGCTATTTGTACAAGTGAAAAGATCCTTGGTGGAGAGGGTGGACAGCCTGAAGTCCCTTAGTGTCCGACCTGGGTGCTGCATACTAACTCAGTAGTAAGAAAGGCAAAGCAGTGACTTGTTTCACCTTACACATGTGAGGAAATCCTACAGTTGGGAGACATTTTCCTCAAGGGCTTTCTACTAGAAAAGACCTCTGGTTGTCACGGTAAAGGTTAGGAAAAAAGTCATGGTTTGGGTTAAAATAGGTTTCTGTCCAATAGGGCTTTCTTGGAGAAAACCTGCAAGGAAAATTTCTGTCGTGTGCAGAAATTCTAGATATTCCCTGAAATACTCAGGAATTTCTACTCAAGTATCCTGACAGTGAACATCACAGCCCGGTACAGAAGCGGCACTAAACAGGACGGCAAAGCCCTGCAAAGAGTCGTTTGTATAGCTCAGGGGTCAGCAACCAAGATGCACCACTATGCGCCACAGGAAGTCATTCCTGCCTGTGGCCATCAACCTGTTGACTCCTCCCGCAGAGTGTCAGCCGCTCTGAGTCAACAGTCTGGCATTTGGCTTTTTTAACCTTCTGCATTTATAATTCATAATTATCTACTGGGTGCAATAGTTCAACTGCCACAATATTCTGTGCAATTGTTCAACTGCGCCAGGCCATAGATGTATGATGTACATAGTTGACGAGATGTTTAAACGTTTAGTTTATCCGGTATAAAGGATTCACATTTATTCAACCAGAAAATGTAAGAACCTCTTTAGGGCGACGATGATGATAAATGAAAATTAAAATGTTACAAAAATAACTGTCATTCATTTCCATATTATTTTTGTCAAAGCCACAGGCAGTCACTTCAGAAGGGTTGAAGGGCCTCATGGGGCTCCTGAGCCCCAGGTTGCCTACCCCTGGTTAAGCTGAACATTTTTTAGGTGCTGCTCTGACCCGAGTGGAAACCTACGGGGCTACAAATTGAGGCTAACACAGAAATGTCAAAAACTGCAGTTCCTCTAATGGCCACTTGAGGTCAGCCAATCCCCATAGACCCTCATGTTACATATGCCCAACATTACAGCAGAAAAAAACATCATTACAGCCTGGTACAAAAAAACAGTGTTGGTCTCAATAGCTAATTTCCCTGTTTATGACAACTGTACAGGGGATGAATTTTCATATAACTTACCTGTTTACATTTTATTAAGGCTTAAAGTTGGGCATAATTAAGGGCGTAGCTGTTTTGTTGACAGGCCTTCGTCAGATCCACCCTTTGCTCCTCCACAGCTCCAGTCTCTCACCCAAATATGATCACCTCTGGCTCCAAATCCCCAAGACAGCGACGGCCATAATGCCAAACTCCAGGCTTCAAAACGGGAGTCTACAAACCAGTGGGTGACGTCATGGTACCAACGTCCATTACTTTATACAGTGTATGCTTTATCCTGCGTAAAGGATGTTTACACCAGGCCAGGAGAATCATTAAAGATTCCAACCACCTGGATAACAACCTTTTCTTCCCGTCTAGGTCGGAAAGTAGGTACTGAGTACAGCAGCTCAGCAGCCTGAGAGGCTCAGGAGGAGCTTCTGCCCTCAGGCCACAAGGCTACTAAATGAAGTCCATTACAGGTTTTTAATGCACATTCTGATGGGACTGACAGCATTATGTATCACTAGATTGTATTTTATATGATTTTATGTGACAAATAATAAAGTGATTGATTGATTTTATGATTGAAGTGCCATACAAGTGTCTGTATGCTAAAAATATCCTACATCAAAGATTGCCACTAACTATTGTGGACATGATATGTTGATTTTGTTTGAAAGAAGTAGGGGGTAGGCTGTCGGATGCAATTTAGACATTATGAGGCAAAGAATTTTAATTGAATACCCCTAATTTAAATCAATGAGCAGGACATTAAGAGGATTTTTGTATCAGTGTGATTAAGAATATTTAGATTTTCCAGGTATTTAATTCACTGGATTAGCTAAAAGTGATCTGGTCTTTAAGTCGTTTCTCAGTTTAGGCAGTAGTTCAGCATTTTGGGGAATACAATTGCATTCTAGCTGAGAGTAAGATGAGAAGATCGATAACACACTCCCAATTTGCATGCACGTCTTGTTTGTGAGTGTATGTGTGTGTTTCCTCACATTTCACCATAACCATGTAGACATCTATGGTACAAATGGGCGGCTGGGGCAGACGCTCCCCCTTCTCCAGAATGTCTGGGATTTCTCGCGTGGGGATGCCATCGTAGGGCTTGCCTCCGAATGTCATCAGCTCCCAGATGGTCACTCCTGGAGAACAAGGCGCAGAGGGAGAGCAGGGCATGAAAGAAGAGTGAACAAGACAGGCAGGGAGAGACGGGGCGGTGAGACAAAGAGCCGGAGAACAACGGAGAACAAGATGAGCAGACAGATAAGGGGGCGAATTGCAAACAACAGAAACAGGATTTCGGGTCAGTTACTTATCTTCCTCTCACAGGTATGAGCTCAACAAACAGTGACGTCTATACATACAGATGAGCAATTTAGCACTCACCATAACTCCATACGTCACTCTGATGGGTGAACTTCCTGTAGTGGATGCATTCAAGAGCCATCCATTTAATAGGCATCTGAAGAGAAATACATAAAGATGAGGATTTTCTGATGAAACAGGCAACAAAGACAGAAAATCTTAATTAGAAGCAACACATCCATCATATCTATTTACACCTGAAATGTAGACAATTTTCCTTTTGCTATTTTGCTCAACAGCTGCCCCATCTTTTAATCTAGTGTTTGCGAGATATCGGGAAATCGACAGCGCTTTCAACCATATTTTGCTTTGCTCAATATTACTCAAGTACTGTGATTGATTAGCTTCAGTCCAACCCAGGCATCATCAATAGTGAGCGTGCTTTTTAAGATACTAAATGAGAGTGTATTGGCCAGTTGTCTCACATTATCTCAGTAGCCTGTAGGTTGACAGCGTGAAATAGCAATAAAAACAGGGCCCTTTGACATTCCTGACAATGGCACACATTGCCATATCCTAACTGTCGTATGATTTCCATATTGACTGTAGGGGGGGAATTTTCAGCTGTAGAGCCCACTGAACAAGGCAATTATCTGGCCTTTTGCATGTGAACGCACATATGCACACATGTACATGCAATGGTCATTTGAAATACAGCCCCTGCCTGACACACACACACTTGCTCTTCAGGGAAATGAACAGGAAGAGGGGGGAAATTAAATGCTTCAGGTTGGAAATGCGGTGCACCGCCTCCACTTTCATCTCTGTTGATTTATCTCTCACGGCGCATCTATTTTTACGGCACACATGTATATATGCTGACAACGGCTCTCATTTATTGAGGCTTCAGTGAATACCCACATGGAGTCAATCACTCAGATGGTTGCATCAAACTCACCTGGTCTGATTTGTGAAAATACTTTTTTTTTTCCACTTGCCCACAGCTCAAACTCAAGATGAGGTGGCTACCTTTAGGCCTCCAGCTGAATAGATGCAGCGATGAACAAGCCAATTTAATAAAGGGAGCTGATCAGGACAATTTGCATAGTAAGTCTCAAGCGAGGAAAAGAGAAGAGGCCTCTGATTAATGTAGTCTGGGTCCCCAAACAAAACAAACTGATTGGAACTGTGGCTGCATTATTTGTTTGGATGAAGTGTTTCTAAATTGTATATTATTAAAACTAAGTTCACGAGACTGACCTTAAGAGTTTCACAGCTCTGGAATTGGTAAGAATGTTGCTGCATGATACACAAAATACATTTTATTTTTGTTTAAAGTGGAACAGATATTGCATCAACTTAATGACAGCGACTGTACAGCGTTACTGGCTGTATTGACATCAAAAAGAATGATTACAGAGAAAGTTTGAGGTAACTGTGTCTTTTTTATACTGCTACTGCTACACAGTGTCTGAGCAGACTTAAAGGGTAACTTTGGTATTCTCCAACCTGAACTCCATTTTCTCATGTTTTTGTGTCTAAGTGACTAATAGAGACAGCAGATTTTGAAATTGGTCGGGTATTGAATGAGAGGGCTGCTGCCGGCAGCTGCGAAACAGGCAGCATGTAACCACTGGGGGCAATTGTGCACTTTGAATTTACATCTAATAATAGTGCTTGTTTTTGCTCAGATTGTTATTTTAAGTGTCTGAAGGCATTATGGAAAGGATCCCTTCTGAGATAGACCTTTTTGTTGAACCAGAAAGAGACCTAAAAATTGCCATCACCACTCTTACCAAATTCCATTTAATAAAACAGCAATTTTAGTGTATACTGTACAGCCGCATATTTTCACATCTACCTGGGTTAATTAAGGGTTTATTCCAACCAAACCAGAATTGGTGATTGTTGGGACAGTAGAAGACAAACCAAGACTGCATTTGTGTGTTTTATTTTGTTTGTGCTGACTATAGATGAAGTGTGTTTATAATTATGAAATTACTAGAGCCTGGTGCATTTGGAGAAACCATTTTTGGGTCAGATTCTGGTTAACCAGGTTTATCTTTGTAGGGATCCTTTCTATAATGTTGTCAGACACTTAGAATAATAATCTGAGCATGTCAGTGGCAAAAACAAGGAATTCTAGTGGAGGTAAAGTTATGCTGCATAATTGCCCACTCTGGTTACATTGCATCCAGTTTCACCGCTGCCAGATGCAATGCTCTTGCTCAATAGTGGACCAGTTTCCGTGATGCTAATCTCCCGCTCCACCACATCCCAAAGGTGCTCTATTGGATTGAGATCTGGTGACTGTGGAGGCCATTGGA